GGGTTGAGGTGTTCACTTAAAGGAATTGTTTACACAAAAATTAATATTTGCTGAAAATCTACGCATCCTCAGGTCCTCAGCGAAGTTCAGTTCTCCGCTCATAACCCCAGAGCTTTAGTAGTCTGAGACGTCCTTCAGAAGTCATTTGCTCTGATGTCTTTAAGGCGAATGGCTGCTGAGCTTCAGATTAATGGTGTACTGTAGTCTTTGTTGGGCTGACAGTGAGGCGGTTTGTTTAGTTTAGGCCTCAGCGTGAGCCGTGAGTCAAACCTCAGCCGGCCTCTGCGTCATTACAGCCAGATGCTGCTATTAATTACAGGCCTTTACCTGTCTCCAGCCAGGATTGTTGTTAGGTGATGATATGCATTTGGGTAGATCTCAGCTGAAGATTAGCAGGGCACACATGAAGCCCGAGCTGGATTTGAAAATATGTGAGAGTTTCTTTAGCACAGACGTTTTATTGCAGCTCACAAATTGTGTGCAACTCCACTATGCATTATAATCAAGTCATACTGGTGTCTGTGAAACGTATGGAAGCCTGTTTCCTCCACAGGATATAAAATAAAAAAAGTAGCTGTGACTCTTCATCTCACAATTCTGACTTTGTGAGAATTGAGAGATAAAGCCACAGTTCTTAGAAAAAAGTCAGAATTGTGAGAAAAGTCAGAATTGTGATGAAAAGTCAGAATTGTGATGAAAAGTCAGAATTGTGATAAAAAGTCACAATTACCTCTTTTTATTTTTTATTTTGTAGTGGGTAAAAAAAAAACTGAATATATAAACTAATACGAGACAAAAAAGTCAGAATTCTGAGTTTATATTTTGCCTATTCTGAGGAAAAAAAACAAAAAAAAACAACAACTCAAACTCAGAATTCTGAAAAAAATAGTCAGAATTGAAAGGTTTTATTATTATTATTATTTTATTTTATTTTCACCATGGAATAAAATAATAATAATAATAATAATAATAATGGAAACTCAAAACTGCACGAAAAAAGTCAGAATTCTGAGTTTTTGTCTCTGAATTCGTTTTTTTTAATTTTTTAATTTTTTTATCTCCACCATGGAATAAAAACGAATTTTTTCCTCAGAATTCTAGAAGAAAAAAAAAAGTCAGAATCGTAAGATAAAAAGTTGCATTTATTTTTAAATCCTGTGTTGGAATCAAGCTTGCATAGAAATGTGAGATATATAGCACGTGAAATCTTCTCTGTGTCCCACTGAAGAAAGTAAGTGATTCAAGTTAGTGTATGAGATGAGGGTGAGCACATTTTTAGGTGAACTATCCCTTTAAGTTTTTGTTGGAGAAACACTGAAGTAATGAGAACACTGATCCCAGGAGAAAGAGAAATATAAGCTAGGACAAAGAGACGATGTGTCCTCTTGAGGAGGGTTTCCTGAGGAAACAGAAGTCAGTGGAGAGCTGATCTCACCTCACTTCCTCAGGAAGCGGCGCCAGCCATCATTCACAGGCCCTCGCAGGCAGTCGTCTTCATTTATTCATTTATTTATTTATTTTTGGAACACAGTCAATGCCGAGGAAATCTTGCTGTTCGAAGTAGTTCATCAATTTTGATCTACCCTGCAATCTGACTGGTTTCATATTTTTGTTTTATTCAATATTATTCAAAAGTTTGGGGCCATGAGACATTTTAATGTTTCTGAAAGAAGTCTCTTCTGCTCACCGAGGCTGCATTTATTTGATCAAAAATACTGTAAAAAAATTTAAAATATTATTACAATTTAAAACAGCTGTTATCTATGTGAATATCCATTAAAATTTAATTTATTTCTGTGATCAAAGCAGTATTTTCAGCATCATTACTCCAGTCTTCAGTGTCACATGATCTTCAGAAATCATTCTAATATGCTGATTTGCTGCTCAACAAACATTTCTGATTATTATCAATGTTGAAAACAGTTGTGCTGCACAATATTTCAGTGGAAACTTTTATACATTTTGTTTTTCAGGATTCACAGATGAATAGAAAGCTCAGAAGAACAGAATTTATTTGAAATTCTTTTTCATGAATCTCTTTACTGTCACTTTTAATCAATTTAATGCATTTTTGCTGAATAAAGCTAATAATTTCTTTAAAAAAATCTTACTGAACAAACTTTTGAGTATGCATTATATAAAACAAAACAGGTTAAGCACAATGAGTTCAGGGAAATGTAAACAAAAATAAGAAAAGGCCTCTGGAAGCTTAAGAATGTGAAGCATCCACCGTATATCTCTACTCTCAAGTGTTCCTCCAGGAGTTTAAAAGCGATAATTCATTCAGAAATACAAATCCTGTCTTCATTTACTCACCCACATATTCATAAAGCTCTCAAAACCCATCAGTGCTTCTGCATGTTCAAATGTAAGAACCATTAATTCAAATATATGGAAGCGCAAATGAGATTTCAGTTGAATTATTTAATAAATGATGACTTGCACGTTAGTCTGTTTGTCATATAAAGCTATTGTGTGACTTCAGAAGGCTTAATATATTGTATGAGTAATACTTTTTGGTACTTTTATTGTGCTTTTATGGATCTTGACAGCACGTGATCACTATGTTGAAGAGAGCAGCATTAACATTCTTCAAAACATCTCTTTTTGTGTTCTTCAAAAGAAAGCGAGTTATCCAGGTTTGAGTGAGTCAATGATATCAGGATTTTTGGCTCTGTGAACACCTTCGTTAATTGAGATCTGACTGCAAATCCCAGTTATGTTACACTGCTAGATTGTTAAAAGCTGGCTAAAACATCTGTAATCAAAATGCAAGACCAGATCACTGTGAAATAAAGCAAGGACCATGAATGAGTGACTGAAACGGAGGACATCAGCTACTTTAGGTGTATCGTGGGTAATATATCACAGACTGAAGCTGTATTACATTGTTGTAAAACAGAGTTTGATAAGTTTGTGGCATCAGAACGGAGTATAAATAACCTTAAAGCACTGACACTGCAATATATCTAAATGTTGGTGAATTAGACATGCAGTCCAATTAATGACTCTCACACTACTGACTCTATTTCACATCCACACAGCTTCATTTTCTTCTTTTTGCCTTTCTTTTTAATCTTTTTTGTATATGTAGTGAAGTCATTTATATAGCAGCGTTCTGATCTAATATGGGTCGCGATCTGTAAGTCTGTAATAAACTGTGCCAGTAAGAAAAGGTCAGACGAGACTGTTCCTGTGCTACAGAGATTTGCTGGGGTTTTTATAAATGAATCAGAGCTTGTGATGATTCACTTTCTTGACACGTAAACTCAGAAACCAGATGCTGAGCGAAATACTGACCAAAGTATCTGGGAACAATAAACAACCATTCAAGCATTTTGGTTTTAAAAAGTTGAAAGTGTAAACTAAAGCAGCATGTTTTAATTCAGTGATTCACGCCATGAGTAAAAGCACAGAAAATGCTGAGATTAGAATTTATTTATAAATTTATATATTTTTATAATATAAATATAAAAAAATATATATTTATTTATTTACTTACTTACTTTTGTCCCTTTTTTATCACCAATTAATAAAGTTCACCAACCTAACTGTAGATTGATTGCATTTGCCACATCAATACCTTATACATTACACATTATATAATAATTAAAAGTCAGAATGATCTGTTTTATAATTATTATCTTAGAACTGTTTTGTCTCATTTTAAATTTAGCTTAAATATTTACCTTATATTTAGGTTAAATAAAATAAATATTTTGTTCATCAAGGATGCATTAAATTGATGAAAAGTGACAGTAAAGACATTTATAATGTTACAAAAGATTTGTGTCTCACATGAATGCTGTTCTTTTGAACTTTCTATTCATCTTTGAATCCTGAAAAATAAAATGTATCACGGTTTCCACAAAAATATTGTGCAGCACGACTGTGTTCAACATTGATAATAATCAGAAATGTTTGTTGAGCAGCAAATCAGCATATTAGAATGATTTCTGAAGATCATGTGACACTGAAGACTGGAGTAATGATGCTGAAAATACAGCTGCGCATCACAGAAACACATTACAGTTTAACAGAGATTCAGATAGAAAACGGTTATTTTAAATTGTAATAATATTTCATAATTTTTATTTACAGTATTTTTGATCAAAGCATAAGAGACTTTTTAAAATTTTTTTCAAAAACACTACGAATTCTTACCAACCCCAAGCTTTTGAACGATAGTGCAGGGTGCGAACTACGGGGGAGCTAGGGAGAGCTCGGCTCCCCTTAATTTCTTTATGCACCAAGAGCTTGTAACACTCCAAAGAGAAAGGAAAAATTGAAATCGCATCATATGAGTATGACCCCTTTAAAGTAATTGTAGTGTAAGAATGAATTGATTCAAATCAATTATGAGAGGAGAGACATTCCCATAAGAGTAACATTTTATAGCTTGCGTGATTAAATTTGACTCTGTCCTGCTCATTGCTGTCAATTGTGAATCTCTAATTTTCCATTTAAGTCCCTAAAAGCTTTTGGAGATCTGATAGTATTGACTGAGGTTCTGCTGTCGTCAGTGCTGCTGCATTGTCTGTGCATTGTGGTCAAACGATCAATGGTGATATCGACAGATAGTTGCTTTATAATCCTTACTAATTCACCTTTACAAAAAGAAGCCAACACCAATATCTCTGTCCAGAGGAGCCAAGGGGATTTTTGACGGTTCAAACCATCTCCAGCTTTCAATTTGGCAATATTGAATAAGCCTACAGGTCCGGCCCGTATTTTGGAGCTTTCAAACAATGAAGATGCACACATTTTCACCATTACACACCCCGACTCGTTCAGTCGCCTGAAACGGATGCAATGGGGAACAGAATAATGAGAAACCGCGGCCGAACGTGCCAACAGAGCAGCCTTCAGTCCTCCGCTCCGCCACTAAATAACAAACACATCTGGTCCATATTTGCGCTTCCTGTGCCGGTTTCTCCTTTCTGCCGCGGAGGGGCTCAAACTCACTTCGGCTTTTACTCAAATTCCTGCTGCACCTCATAATGGCTTCAGTACATGGTGCGACTGATCCGCGCTCTCCATCGGCACATATTCCATCCACCGAATTATTGACTAATGTGTTTTTCATCACTCTCCGCACTTAGCTGATTTGCTGCTGTTGAATAGAATGTTTTCTTATTAGGCTAATCGCCTGAGCTCACAGTAAAACTGTGTGGCATGAGCAGACCTGTAAAACATTTTCATAACAGTAATGCATTGTAAAGATCGTAAAATCTTGGCAGACTCGCTTGGCAGTGATTTCTGATTCTTCAGGTGGTTTAGAAATTGTTATCGGTAGGTGTTAATACATTGATGGAGACAAGTGCTCCAAAAATGAATGCTTTTGAAAACATTAGTCTGCTTTCTGCATTGTATTTAATATGGGCAAGCTGAAACGTGATTGTTACAGATATGAAATTTCAGTCATTTTATTATTACTTTTAAAACTCAACACAGTTGTTTTCCTGTATTGACATGAATAGTCAATAGCCTTTTGTTTACATCACAGTTACATATATAAAAATATGAGATTATGTTATCTGGGTAATTTTCCTTGAAGGGAAGAATTGAATATTTGAAGTGTGCACTAGCATTGTGAGTTTTAATGTTTTAAGTCACTTCTGCTCACCAAGGCTGCATTTGTTTGATCAAAAATACTGTAATATTTCTGTAATATTATTACAAATAATCTGTATTTTCAGCATCATTACTCCAGTCTTCAGTGTCACATGATCTTCAGAAATCATTCTAATATGCTGATTTGCTGCTCAAGAAACATTTCTGATTATTATCAATGTTGAAAACTATGTTAAACAGTGTTGTGCTGCACAATATTTTTTTGTGGAAACCATGATGCATTTTATTTTTCAGGATTCACAGATGAATAGAAAGTTCAAAAGAACAGCATTTATTTGAAATAGCAATCTTTTATAACATTATAAATGTCTTCACTGCCACTTTTTATCAATTTAACACATCCTTGATGAATAAAAGCATAAAAGTAGTAAAAATATATTATTGACCCCAAATTTTGAACGCTAGTGTAAGGTTTATTTTGTTAACTTTTAGGACACTAGCATATACAGTAGATTGCATCAACACTCATGGATAAATGCCACAAAACTAGCGGATAGTTAGACAAAAAAATGTCCAACACAGTAATTTTTTTCTAATCCTTTCTAAAAGTTTGCTAATTCCATAATGAGGAAGCTTTTATCCTTGGTTCTGCTTCCTAATGTTTTAAGAAATTGAGTTACGGTGTGCTACGGAAACAGCCCGTGTCTGAGGACTGATACGTAATATTTCATCGAAATCCACAGGGAACCAAACGATCCGCTCTCATTACCTCTGATATTTTGAATATGACTGTAAATGTGCTGTAGCGAATTAATGAGGTCTGCGTTTACTCAAAGGAGACTTGTGCGCTTACCCAGGCCCACGTTTGTGTGTGACTTCCCTTACGAAAAATACGTTTATTCAAGTGTGCTTTTAGTATACTTCTTTTAAACTAAAAATAGGAAAGTATACCTTTAGTCTACTTTTTATGTACTTCTCAGAAATGGGCTCTATGTACTTCTCAGAAATATACTTAAAATGCCATTTAAGTATATTTGAATTATACTTAAAAAAAGTCTAATTATATTTGAGCTATGCTTTTGCTCCTAGAATCCGTGTTTTCATTGCTATACGGTAGGGGGCACTAGTACACAACTTCTGTACAAAATTTCCAAAAAAAACACAAGTGAAGAAGAAACTGAAACAACAGATGCTTCCACATGTAATCTAATGTCAAGCTTTGGGGTGTTGATCGACTCCATCTACGTTTTGATTATCATTCGGAATCCAATTCATAGTCTTTTTTCAGCTTTTTGTTCAAAATGCTGTTTATTAATTTATTTTTCATTTATGAAAATTCACTTACCCACATTCAAGTGTTTAAAAAAGGAATGCATGACACGAGAATAAAATGGTTTTTTTTTACAAGCAGATACCCTGTTCTTTCTTTTGATGTTTTGATGCTTAAATATATACTTGAACTTTACTTAAGTATACTTAATAAAATAAACTTGAAGTATACTACTTTTTGCTAAGGGTTTAGACTCACTGATAGTATGCATACTATTATCTGCAAGGTTTCAGACCTTATTTTCTACCTCAGCCATTTCCTTGACCACCGTTTACAGCGGACGTTTGTTCCAATGCCTTCAAATGAACTACAAATACATTTCTTGGCATTTTTTATCCATGCAAACCTTAAGTAGAGTGAAATTTCATCCTGATTTCTTACAGATTCTTGACCATTTTTATTCCCTTAAATATGTGATATGATCTATCCCAAATTGACAATTAAATTAAGCACTTATTGGTTTGCATACAGTATGATGTAATTTCCTCATTCGGGCCGGATGGGTTGTGGGCGTTTTTTAATATTCTAAAATTCATGTTTGATGCTATCTGTGTTATTCCCAGCTTCCTTTGATAGCACACCAACATCCATCCACCCCAAGTCCTTCTTCTCTTCATCATAAAACATGTTTAAATACATAAATCAAAACTCTTTTTGACCCCTTTATGGCCTGTAACGGGCATTACTCACAGCATTGTTTCGTTTAGATTTTTCTGAACTCACACTGAGCCCCGTGATCCTAAATGATAAACAGCCCAAACACTGCCAAAAATATCAGCGCTAAATGAATGCCCAGAGTGAGAGAGAAACAGAGAGAGCTGTAATACAAGGGTGAATTTCCGCTAATAGCAGTGGATTACTGCAGCTCTTTTCTATTAAGAGCAGAAAGACAGGTTCAACTAGATGAACTTTCACCCTGACACGTGGAGTGCTTGAATTCCCTACAGCTGGACTAAAAGCATAAGAATCTGGAATATTACAAGTCATTGAGGTCTTTATCCTCTGTAACAGTTAAATCCACAGGATTGGATGTTACGACTCAAAGCAATAGTTGAAAATAGATGAAAATTTGCAAAAATCTACTCATCCTCAGGTCATCCGAGATGTAGATGAGTTTGTTTCTTCATCAGATTTGGAGAAATGCAGCATTGCATCAGTGTCTCAGCAATGGATGCTCTGCAGTGAATGGGTGCCGTCAGAATGAGAGTCCAAACAGCTGATAAAAACATCACAATAATCCACAAGTAATCCACAGCACTCCAGTCCATCAGTTAACATCTGGAGAAGACAAAAGCTGAAACTAATCCAGCATTAAGACATTTTTAACTAAAACACGAGTCCATAATCCATAATAACTTTTTGGATTTCCTCCAGTGAAAAAGTGTTCTGGTGTGAATCAGGAGAGAACAGATCAAGCATCTCAGGAAGTAAAAAGCTTAATGTTTGTTTAAATAAGAAGTTTTAACTTCAAACTGTTGCTTCCACTTAAAATATTCAACTGTCCGTAATACTGCTTTCTTCAGTGAAAAAGTCATCTCATGACACAGATTAAGTGTTGTTTACTAGAGGAAGCATTATTATGGATAATTAACTGGTATTTTGACCAGAAGAAATGGTTTAAAAACGTCTTAATGATGGATCTGTTTCTTACAAACACACAGCTTTTTTCTTCTCCATGTTCATTCTGACGGCACCCATTCACTGCAGAGGATCCACTGGTGAGCACGTGTGGAATGCTATATTTCTATTAAGTTTCATCCTTGTCCAGTGTCTGCAGCGTTTCTCTCCAGAAGTTATGACCGATAAAAAATGTCTTTGTACTTGTTAAAACTAGATTTGCATTTATCTAATCCTCTTGCACTAGCTATCATCAACCAGCGTCTATTGTTGTTGTTGTCTTCAGGAGTTTGTTGTTGTTTCGTCTTTTACGTTTCTTTTTCAGTGATACAACCAGTGCTGCCAACTAGTGGACCAACTAATTAGTGCAAGAAAAATCAAGGCGCATACAATACATGCTTACTATGCTGATCATGACATTTCCGTTGCCCACTTACGCATACCCTAGTGCACAAGTAAAAGCCGAAGTAATACTTCAGGCTTTATTTTAGGCATGGATATGTTGCAGATTATATGCACATTGTTTGCTAATGTAATTTAAAGTTTGTATTAATTCTTTTCTTTCTGCAGGGCACACGGGGCGCTTGCTGAAATCCCTGTGCTTCACCAGTATGACGTTCCTGCTGCTGCACATCATCTACCAAATCACAATCAACAGTCTGTTAGCAGGAGACAACATCAAGCCCAACTTCAACTGTGAGTCCTAACTAGATCTAGCTCTCCACTACAGATTCTTAAACTAATAGATGAAACTGGTTGAGGTCAGGTGGTAGAGGAAACCGGTTTTATTAGCTGACGCACAAAATTCTAACTAAATGAATGAGCTTAACTCGAGTTATTGGTTGAAAACAACCCTAATCGGTTTAACCAGTTAAAAATAATGAACCAATCAAACATGCACGTGCTCTATAGAAAGCTACAATGAAGCACAACCTCACACCAGCACGAGTGTTTGGCAGGAAAATGTGTATGATTTCTCTGTTCAGAGCAATGCTTAAAAAACAGCAAATGGGCTGAATGAAAATGCTGGAGGTTTTGGTTGCAGTGTTTTTATTTTATTTTTTGTAACTTTAAGATTCTATTACAGTTTTTATTAATATTTTGAATTCGTTTTTATTTTTGGTCATTTTTATTCTTTTTATTATTCTTTTTTAATATGTCCAAATAGTTTTTATACATTTTAGTTTTATTTATTTTAGTATCAAGTTAAACTAATTAAAAAATGACAAATGTTGCCTTGGCAATTAGCTGAAAGTTGAACGTTTAATGTTTTTATTTTTATTTTTATTTATTTCTGTCTGTTTATTTAGTTTTTATTTATAGTTTTATATGGTTTTAGTTTAGTTATCTCTCACAATTATGTGTTTGTGACTCAGAATTCCTGTTTTTTCCCCCTCAGAATTGAAAGATATAAACTCAGAATTGCAAGGAAAAAGTCTGATAAAAAGTTGCAATTACCTTTTTATTTATTTATTTTCATCCCATGGCAAAATAGAAAGTTGAAAAGAACAGCATTTATTTGAAAAAAAAAAAGAACTATCAACTAGCTAAAATAAATAATTGTAATATTAAAAAATATATATATTTTATTTTAGTTTGTTTATTTCAATATTTTTTTATGGTTTTAGTTAACTATAATAACTCTAGTTGCAACTGTTTTGAGGACTAAAATGTTCTCTGCTCACAAACGCCATTATTCACTTAAGCCACTAAAATGTGAAACCAGTAAAAATGTGTGTATGCATGGTTGAAAGTTTGTGTGAGGATACACACATTCTCAGGTCTAGTTTGATTTGTATAAATCACAGAGTTGGCACATGAAGTTACGTGCGATTGCTTAAGCCTGTTCTGAAGCTGGATGGAGGAGCCGTGAGGTCAGACGCATGCCTGGATCATGCTTCCCCGACACTAACGCTCATGCAGAACCCCAGACTGTAACTGGGCCCTCATGTCTCATGCACACAACCAGAGCCACTTTCTCCAAGCGCATAAGCCACAACATCTGCCTTCAAGATGGAGATAAACTTATTATGAAGAGAGAAGGAGCCAGACATGAGAGAAGAGTTCTGAAACAGGAGATCTGGACCGGTGCTGGTCTTTCTTGGGTCTTTGCAAGTGTAAAATCATGATAGAAAGGGCTCTCGTTTCTCCAGCCAATAGAAGACAAGGGGAGAAACCTGTTTGAAAACAATCACATTCGGTGCCAGAAATTACAACTTTGACTTTTAAGTAACGAGAATCTGTAAGTTAAATATATTTGGCTTTTTTCCTACATTGGTAATTTAAAGGTTTGTGTTCACTCTACATTTCTATATTCACTAATGCATTTTTATATATGTTCAGAGGTTTGAGGTTGGTAAAATGGTTTAGTCTGCATTTATTTGATCAAAAATACAGTAAAAACAGTAATATTTTGACATGCTATTACAATTTAAAATAAGTGTTTCTATGAAAGCTTGTTTCTGCCACGGAATAATAAAAAAAAGTTAATTGCAACTTTTTATCTCACAGTTCTATTTAAAGTTTTTTATATGGTTTATTTTAGTTAGCTATAGTAACCTTTTTCTTGCAATTGCAAGTTTATATCTCACAATTATGTGTTTATGAATCAGAATTGCAAAGAAAAAGTCTGAATTGTGAGATTAAAAGTTGACTTTTTATTTTTATTTATTTATTTATTTATTTTTTATCCTGTGGCAAAAGAGACAGTTGAAAAGAACAGCATTTATTTGAAACAGAAATCTTTTGTAACATTCTAAATTTCTTTACTGTCACTTTTAAACAATTAAATGCATCCTTGATAAATACAAAATAAAACAACAACAACTTATTCCTTATCTTTTTTTTTTTATGATTTAGAGTCAGATGAATGTAATGGCTTTTCTTTCTGAGTGCGCACACATGTTAATGGAAGCCAATACCTCACGGCTTACAGGAGCCAAAAACAACAGCAGGCATGAAGGAGGACTAAGCATTCAAGAAATTAAAAACTGATTTTGAGTTTTTAAGAGAAGGACAGTGCCAGTTTAAAACTAAAATCTTGAGGTGTGTGGTAGTGCCCTAAATGTGTGTTTCTTTGGCCGGGTCATGAGTGCGAACAAACCTGATTCATACACTCTCTTTTCATTGTCTCTTCAGCTTCCTTTTGTTTTGTTTTTATGGTGTTTGTAAGGCAGCGATGTATTGATAATGTGTTTGTTCTGACTTTTGTTTTATAGATCATTTCCATCTTCGATATAGTATCTAATCTTGTTTTACTTATTTTTGTAAACTTTAATGTCTATTTGAAATGTTTTGTTTTTATGGTGTTTGTAAGGCAGCGATGTATTGATAATATGTTTGTTCTGACTTTTGTTTTATAGATAATTTCCATCTTCGATATAGTATCTAATCTTGTTTTACTTATTTTTGTAAACTTTAATGTCTATTTGAAATGATTTCTAATTATGTCTGAGTGATTAATGATTAACTTTTTTAAATTTTATTTTGATGATTTTTATTGTCACATATGCAAACTAAATGATTTTTTGAGCTATTGAGAAATTAAAGTGTGCATCACATGCATATTTTATCTCAGTATTATTCTCTACACTTAACATTGTATTTTATAACAGCAGTGTGGTGCTTAGTAGCATTATATTGGCAACAGGGTTATTATAGTAAACTAAAATGAAAATAAAAACTAAATTAAATAATTAATAAATAAATAAATAATTTTAATAATTTAGTAATTAAATTAAATACATTAAAAAATCAGCAACATTTCTCATTTTAATTTTAGATTTTGATGAACTAAAACTGAACAAAAAAACAAAAAAAAAACAAACAATACAGACATACACATAAAAAAACGTGTTACGATACCGCAGGAGCACAGCAATGAGGAGACGAGGAATTCTTCAATAAACAGTCTTTATTAACCCAAAAGCTGGGAACACAGGCAACGTAGGAAACACTGAGCAAACAAAATGACATATAACAGCGGACGGGAAACGAGGGGCAGAACACACTTTAAATACACAGAAACTAATGGGACACACCTGGGAACAAATTAACTAAACAGGGACTGTAACAGGAAAAACCAAATATGGGCATAATAATCAAACTGGAGCACGTGGGCGAGGAAAACAACACGAGACATGGAACAGAGTCTGACATTACTCCCCCCTCCCGGAAGGCGCATCCTCGCGCCACACAACATCCAACGGGGAGGGGGGGGGTGTGCTCTGGAGGTCCCTCAGGACAGACACGGGACGGCGGGCCTCCAGAGCGATACCCGTTCGGGGCACCATGGTGGAGCAGGCAGCTCGCGGAGCCATGGCGGATCACACAGTCCAGGAGGCCATGGCAGAACAACCTCCGAGGCCGCGGCCCCAGCCCCCGCCTCTATGGCTGAA